AGCAAACAAACAAGTAAGTATAACTTGAACAACCAATTACAAGAAAATAAATAAAGTAATAAAATAATAATAACAATAATCATAATCATGATCATAATCATAGTCATAATCATAATAATGGCAATAATAATAATAATAATAATATACACATAAATAAATAAATAAATAAAATTAAAAATTATTTTTCACTTTTTACCCTCAGCGGAAAGTTCGTGAAGGCCCGCTCAAACATTTTTCGCCCGGGGCCCTAAAAGAATAAATAAATAAATAAATAAATAAATATTTAATTAAGTGAGAATAAATGGATGAAGAATGCAGCAGCAGCAGCAGCAGCAACAACAGCAGCATTATCGGCGGCGGAGGCAGCAGCGGCATCAACACTATCAGTAGTCGCAGCAGCAGCAGCAGCAGTAGCAGCAGCAGCAGCAGCAGCAGTAGCAGTAGCAGTAGCAGTAGCATTAGCAGCAGCATCAGCCGCAGCATCATTATGAGCAGCAGCAGCAGCACAATTAACAGTAGCAGCAGCATTAATATTAGCAACAGCAGCATCAGTAGCAGCTCAGCAGCAGATCAGCAGCAGTAGCAGCAACATCAGCAGCAGCAGCAGCATTACTATTATCAGCAGCAGCAGCAGTAGCAGCGCAATCATTATGAACAGCACCAGCAGCAGCATCATTGTCCGCAGCAGCAGCAGCAGCATCATTATCATCAGCAGCGGCAGCAGCAGCAGCGTTATCAGCAGCAGCAGCAGCAGTATCAGCAGCAGCAGCAGCATCTTGCTTGTCTTTGCAGGAAGTTGACAGCAGTTCCCAAATATCTGTTTGGAAGGGCATTGAAAAGAGTCATGAGTTTCCTGTAAATAAACATAAATAAATAAATAAATGGACACATAAATGAATAAATAATAAATAAACAAATAAATAAATAAATAAGCAAACAAATAAATAAATAAATAAATAAATAAATAAATAAATAAATAAATAAATAAATAAATAAATAAATAAATACACAAATAAATAAGTAAATAAATAAATATGAATGAATGAAGAATAAATAAATTAAAAAGTAAAACCAAAAATAAAAAGAAATAAATGAATTAAATTCAAGAAGTTGAATCAGCGCAAAAGGAGCAAAAATGAGCAAATGGACAAAAAGACGAAGAGAGAAAAAAAAGCGAATTTTTAATCACAAATTGAATTGATTGAACGTTTAAAATGAATTTAATTCAAAAATAAATCTTTAAAATGAATTAATTTGAAGAAAAAGATTAAAATGGTTTTTTAAAATTTGAAAAAATCCCCAAAAGAAGAATCGATTTAGTTGGTGCGTTCGGGTGTACGTACACCGCGCGCCCCAGCTGTCTTTGCAGTCGCATTTTCGCAATTAAGGCTTTTTTTCATTTTAATTAAGTCATTTTAAATGTTTTATTTTATTTTATTTATACTTTTTGAATTGTGGAGTTCGAAAAACCCGAAAAAAGCGAAACTGTGCGCCCCATGTAGTGGACTTCACACTTTTTTTCACTTTTATCATTTTCCCATCTTTTTTGTTCATTTTAATATATTTTTTTATATTTTAAATTAATTTTTTGTTTAATTTTTGAAACATAAGATCTTAAAAGCATTAAAAATCAACAAGAGCTTATTTCTGGGCCTGGAAAAGGGAAAACAGACAAATGCTTTCCACCTTCCCCGCAAACTGATTCCGAAAAACTAAAAGACGGAAAAGTTTTGAATTTCTTTTTTGTTTATTAATTGCTGCTGCTGTGCATTATTAATTGCCACAACGTGTGATTAATTTCTTCAAAAAGTTTTATTCAAAAAGGCATTATTTGCTTCTTGAAAGAAAATGAAGAAAAAGACGAAGTGCCCTGAATGGCATGCAGTGGGCGCAGGGTGTACGTACACCAGAAATTCGCACTTTTTGCAAACGAAAAAGATATTTTTTTGGCATTTATTTTTATTTAATAAGATATGTTTTGCAACAAAAAGCTGAGTTATAAGAGCTAGTGCACGCAAGCTCATCGAGTGGCAAACCCTAAACCCTAAACCCTAAACCCTAAATCGTAAACCCTAAACCCTAAATTCTAAACCCTAAACCCTAAACCCTAAACCCTAGAGGAACTTGCCAGCGCGCTTTGGAGAGCTTCTGGGCTCTGTCGGAGGGACAGAGTTTCTCGGCGTTGTAGAAGGAAAGAGAACTAAAATCATTTTTCTCTTTTTCGGAATTATTTCTTTTTTGCTGCACCCATTCGTGTGTACATACACTCGAAACTGCTGCCCGCAGCAGCAGGGGGGCCCCCAGGGGGGCCCCCGAGAGCAGCTCGCTGTGGGTGTTGTACCCTTGGCAAACTAGAGAGACCTGAAGGGGGAAATAAAAGAATAAAATCAAATAAACAATTTAATTTTAAAAAGCAGAAGTTAAAAAGCAACTGGCAGGAAAAAAAAGAAAAGATGTTAATGAAAAAATAAGAGGTCTTTAAAATCAAAAGTTCTATATTTCCAAACCCTAATTCCACCTTTTAGGGTTTTGTTCTTCACAACAACAAAACGCGCATTACTCGCCATCTACTTCTCAGAGACTCTCTGTGGTCTATAGGGTTTAGGGTTTAGGGTTTTGGGTTTAGGGTTTAGTATTTAGGGTTTAGGGTTTAGTCTAGGGTTTAGCGTCTAGGGTTTAGCATCAAAAAGCTAGGGTTTAGAAGCTACGGTTTAACGTTAAGCGTCTAGGGTTTAGCACTCAGGGTTCAGGGTTTAGGATTTAGGGTTTAGGGTTTACTTTTCTGTCAAACACAAAAATCCATTGGGTCCCGTCAGTCAGTTCAATTTCAATTGCGTCTGTCTCCAGTGGTTGTTCCTAAAAACAAAATAAATAAATAAATAAACAAATAAAAAACAAATAAATAAGTAAATAAATAAATAAATAAAATAAAATGAAAGGAGGAGTTGCTTATATTCAGCAGTCATTGCAGGACAGCTTCCTGCAGCAGCAGCCGCAGCAGCGCAGCAGCAGCAGCGGCAGCAGCACACGGAAACGAGAAGCAGCAGTCGCAGCAGCAAAAGGGATAACAGAGACGCACGAAGTGGACCAGCAGCAGCAGCAGCAAGGAAGATAGTAGCAGCGCAAAAAGGGCGCAGCAGCTGCAGCATCCACGACTGCAGCAGCAGCAGCAGCAGCAGCAGCAGCATCAGCAGCAGCAGCAGCAGCAGCAGCAGCAGAAGCAGCAGCAGCAGCAGCAACAGCAGCAGCAAAAAGGACCTTGAGGGCTGCGCATGTGTGAGTGGGTTCAGTTGGCAGGCCGCTGAAGTTGGTGATCGCTTCTATGGCGTTCCTTTTTCCTGAAAAGAAACGAGGGTTTAGGGTTTAGGGTTTAGGGTTTAAGGTTTAGGGTTTGGGGTTAGGGCTGAGGGTTTAGGGTTTCCGTGCAGCGTGTATTAGTAAAGCAGCATTTGCCTCGCTGAGACTCCAAGTTCGCCCCACAAATAAAGGGTTTAGGGTTTCAGCAATAAGGTTTGAGCATTGGGGTTTAGGGTTTAGGGTTTAGGGTTTACGGTTAACCTGTATGGGAGTCAGCGAGGAGTGTCCTTATCATCAGTTTGTGGCTTTTGGGAATTTCGAGAGTCACATAAGCAGCGCCGCGGGATATAAAAGCCCTCA